CAATTATGAAATTTGTTTTATCCAAAGATAATTCCACGTAAAAAATAACTTACAAAATTCTTTAATATCTTTTATTTTATTTAAAAAAAATAGAATTAAATATGAAGAAATAATTTTTAATTGCAAAGAGAACAAATTTTTACATTATTTTTAATTAAGAATTTTATATGCCAAAATGCAAAATTGGAACGAAATAGTTCATATAGTTTCTAAATTATTCAATTTTAAAAAGTCATAGCGTTACAATTCAATTTCGAAAGAATTATTTGGCCGATTTCGTTCTCCATTTACGTTTGTCTTTTAAAATCATGAAGTAATTTTAAATACCAACTGCTCAAATTAATAAGTATATTTAAGATTAGTCCCTTAAGGATTGAATCTTAGTACCTGAAATTTGAAGATAGGAATTCAGATTTTTAACACCGGAAATTCCTTTGATAGGAAGTTATTCAGAGTATTCACTTTTTTTTCGCATTGTACATCAAAATTAAGTTTGTCATTCAAAGGTTTTGATCTGGACAATATTTTGTAATTTTCTTTTTTAAATAAAAATATAAGCTAACAGCAGCAAACATGGAAATTTTTACAGGTAAATCTTATTCTTAAACACTCTGGTGTAAGAAATTAAAACAATTTGCAGATTTAGTTGATTATCTCGAGAAATACAGAACTAATTTTAATGAAATTTGATGTGTAAGTACATTGATACAATGCAAAATAAATAACCATTCGCAATTATAATACACGCTTCATGATCATGCGTAACACTCTTTAGAGTCGGAAGGTATGAAACAGCGGTTGCAGAATAAACAAAAAGAAAAAAAAATAGGCTAATAGGGAGTATGGTCCCCTCTTATACAGGCCTTGTAGCTTGATTTCATACTTAAAATGAGACAGCTTATCATTCCTGTCCCCAATTGGCCAGAATTGTCCTAGGGCGATTTCATACCCTCCGACTCCAACGAGTGTTACATACAATCATACGTGTGTATTACAATTGTAGAATGGTTATTTGCTTTGTATTGTATCAATGTATGTACAGATCAAATTTCATTAAATTATGTCCAGTAGTTCTAGAGATAATCGACCAAGTCTGCAAATTCTCTTAATTTCTTACAGCAGTGTATTTTCGAAAAATGTTCGTTAAGGAAGATATTTTTTAAATATGAGGATAGAAATTGCCATTGCATTTATTTAGATATTGTAAATAAGAGTTTGTTTTTCAAAAAAAAAATTTGATGAGAAAAAAAACTCTCAACACTCAAATTGAATTGAATGTGTGTTTAGTGGTACTTAAGAGCACGCACCAAACAATACTATACGCTCAAATAATTTTTACATCGTGTGTACCACGAGCAAACTTGCGTTCTTCTTTTAATTTTGATTGGTTTCTGTATCGTATTAAGAGAATTTTAGCGATATGCAATCATAAAATATCTAGAAGTTGTAAAATGATAAAATAATTTTAGACAGTATATAAATTATTTTAGAGAATTTAAAGAACAATATTTAATTGTAATTCATTTTTAAAAAATATATTATCTATCTATAAAAGACCCTGATCATTGATTGAAATAAATTATTATTTATACAATAATATATTATCATCATTTTGACACAATTACAAAATACTTGCTAACTTGTATAATTATAGCTAAATTTGTATTAATAACATAACAATACATAAATAATACATTACATTATAAAAGAGGCATCCACTTTCCAAATTACCTTTTCCAATTAAAATAAGCACCACTGAACTATCTGATAGATCGATAAAACAATTATTACCTCTACAGCCCATTCATGTCAATATACTGTGTGCTGAAACATACCTGTATTTCAAATAATAAACAACATCACATACAACCCTAATGTTTCTAAGAAATGCACTGACAATGAAGGTGTTCGTCACCCGGGTGGAATATTTTTTTTCTAAAATCTTATTAGAAATTTATTTTTCTCCTATTTCACAATAACTATTCAGTTATCAAAAACTACAATTCTTACCTTGAATAAGTCGCCAAGTTGAATTCATTTCGCAAACAAAGAGCACTGTTGGCTGTTACTCTGATCTATTAAAGATTGCTTTTTTACTTTCGTTGAACACTTTAATATTTATTCTTTACAAGACTTAGTTTAAGAAATGAAATTTTTAAATAAGACTAAAAATTCTGCTGTTTTAAGTAATAAATTCAAAAGTTCCTTCGTGATTCTGCATTTTACAAGTATTTTTTAAAAATATCAATTTATTAGCTGAATTCATACTCTAGCAAGAAATCGTTTATAAGAATTTTAAAGACTGTTTTTCGAAAGCTCCGTCGTAATATAAAAAGATTTTTTTTTTTTTTTTGCAAATAATATGCTATTCTTTCCACTACTGTGAGTTTACAACTGTTACTCATGACTGTTAGGGTCAAGGTAGGTCATGACTGTTAGGTTATTTTGAAAAAGGTGCCAGACGTCAATATGGAGAAAAGCCGCAGTTTTGTAAAAATGAAAAGCCCTTTTAGTCGAATTTTTTATTATTGAAAAACTTACTACAATGCTGCATTACATGGTCTCATAAAAATTGCTAAAAACTGAGAATACGGCAGTGATTTTAATAATTTTCTTCTAGGTGAAAAAATATCGCCAAATTGGCGAACTGGAATTGGAAGTTCAATAATTTGGCGCCAATTGGAAGTTCAATAACTTTTAAAATATTTAAGTCATTTGTCATCTCTGAAGTGAAAGGCCCTTAAACCTAAAGAGAATAGAAATTTTTACTTTTTCTGATTATTAGATTTCAAACTTTACATAATTATAATTAACACATTATTTCCGTTCATAAACATAGTTCAAAAAACTTTCTCGGCCATTATATTAAAAAAATACCATTTTAAACTTATAAAAATATTTTACTAGTTGGCGAAAATGACACTATAAATACTTTATTTTAAAAAGTTCAGCTTTAACTTTAATTATTAAGAAAAGCATCTATTGACACTTCTACATAATCTCTGACAACTATAAGTTGGGTTCAATTTAGAATCCTGATTTTAAAATAAGCCGTTAATAGCAATTTGTTCATACTTAATCATTAGGAAACATCAACCTTAAACGCTAATTACTGAAACAAAATAATAATTTAGGTTCATAATGATATTCGAAATTTTACAATTGCTTATAGATACTTAAATTTAAGATAATATAATTTATAAATATTTAATTTTAATTTAATTAAAAAAAATCATAAATATTTAGAATTACTACATTAAAAAATATGTTATGAAGTTAGGAGAATTTTAACTATATGCTATATATTTTATTTATACTCTTTATTTATACTTTTTATTTACGCTTTAATTTTCTTTGACTTTATTCATTTTTAATTTTTTCGCCTGCCTTTCTTTTTGAAGTAACGAGGCGGTTTCTATTTAGATGGTGAATTTTTATAAAAGTTTTTAACGATAGAACAAACGTATTGCTGTTTTATATTAACTGTGTCTTTTCGTTTGCAATTCGTTGAATCCATTCTTTACATAGTTGTTCATTTACTTTAGGGAACACGTGGAAAATTATATTTTTCCTTTTGCGATTCTATCAGAATTTTTGCAAGTTGCAATCGCGCAAACTGGCATTAGATTAATAGTTTTAAATTTTTGTAAATTCACTGTAATAAACTGAGGAAAATCATTTTATAAAACAACAAATGTCTCGGAATAAGTCTCAAAAAGGAATGCTCCAATATTAGTTAGAGCAAGTTAGACCGAACGCTCCGTTCTTGAAGTCAAGTGCAAGCTTCGCGCCACAGTGACGTCACTGGAGAATAACGGAGGCTTGGCGCGACGAGAGTTTCTTCAAAGGAGTGAATTAGCCCTTCTATTCTCTTCAGCCCTGACTTAAACTACGGTTTTTTTTAATTTCCTTGGCGACAGAGCTTCGAAAAACAGCATTAAACGTATACCAACTGTATTATTTATCGCTTATTTGGCAAAATATCTACGATTCTTTACAAAGTTTTTTGCCTTTGCTTTCCTTTTTAATAATTTATCTCTCCGAAACCAATACGAAATAAACATAATGTTTTGCATATATTATTTCCTAATCTAAATAATTATCTATATAAAAAAAATATTAGCTTGATTAACGAGTAACACTTCGGGTATCTTACTACTTACTACCTTACTACTTCACACGAATACAATCTGTTATTCAAGCACAAAGATATTTTTCTTTGCATAATTTAGCATACACAGCAATATTTTATTTTAAATTTTCTCTTTTTAGAGCAGCCACTTATCGACGAGGCTTTTTGTTGCTCAAGATTTCGGATCCATTACTTTTTTCTATTGTAGTGAATCTTCTCTCCGGACTTGTAATATAGTTTGTATACAATAAGAACTCCCCCCGCCACAAAATCTGCTGCTATGGAAACAAGAATAGCGCATTTCAAGGAGGGTAGTTTCTCTTCATTCTGGGGCTAACACAATAGACCGAAGAAAAATATTTCCTTTCTCTCACTGACCGGAGTTAAAACCTGTCCTAAACAATGACCCCATTTGAAATACTTATCTCGTTACCACAGTGACCGCCACCGGTCCAGACGAATGGCTAGGGGAGTTCTTTCCTCAGACGAACTTTACATCTGCTGCTCTTGCCAAAATTATTTTTCTATGTAAAACAGAATATATATTTTCATATTACAATACTGCGAAAAAAATTAACTCTAAAGCTTTTTTTTAAAGCTACGATCCAAAAACATATTTTATTCGTTTTATCGACTAACGTTTGATACAAAAACAGATGAAAACACTATCAACAACTACAGTAGTACGGTATTTCGTAGTACGCTTTTGATGAAACCAATCTGAAATGCGCATTAAAAATATTGCAATTGTTAAATATTCCAGTTCATAGTGTAAGATTTTTTTTTTTTTAAATGACCTACCAGTATAATGTTCTAAGAAATTTGTCCTTTAGAGATCCTTACCAAATAAAAATTTGAAATAACTCACCTGTGAATCTGAATTTTCCTCTGGGCACCTACAGAAATTAAAAAAGAGTTGTTTGTAAATTTGAAAGATAAAAAAATACTTACAAATAACATCCACCATTTTAAAATAAATGACTGATGTGTTGAAAAAAGAATGTGTTCAACAGTATTTAATTTTTTTAAAATTACTACAATAACTCTAAAAGTTACCTTTTAAGTCGTAAAAGGCAGTATTTAAACTTTGGACAAAAAATTAGAAAAAATAGAAAAACATTAAACCTTACTTTAAACGTACATCAAAGAAATGTTTTGATAAATTTATCTATTTCCAGGAAAATATTTGTTCTAGCAAATTTTAATTTATCCTAGCAGTTTTTATTGCGAAAGGATTTTTAAAGAAAACATTCTATTGATATAAATTTTTTTTTTAAATGTAGCAAATAGTGTTTTTTCGAAAACTCTGTGTTGAAAAGCATTTTTCTGAAAAGTAATTTCACTTATTATTTTGTGAGTGAGCTCTAAGAATCATTATGAGTAATTTTTTGTCTTGTGTTTTCATGCACTGCAATACACGTAACTCAAAGGTTAAACCTTAAACAGACTTTTAACAGGCGCCACAGGCTAATGAATTAGGTTACAAAAATTTACCTAAATGACATATTTTTTCCGACACTGTCGAATTCTTATAGTTGTGAGAGCGAATAATCATATTTTGAGTATTCCTTCCAGAAATATTCAATACATTAATTCAGATTTTAGATTCTTCTTTATTTTAAAATAACAAAGTTTATTATGATGTAACGAGGCAAGCCAAAAGGTTTCAATCATTATTAAGTCAAATACTAAAAAATAATTGTTAGTTATTATTTTTTTGCATGAAATTAGTTGTGTAAATAAAATAAAAGAAGTATATAAAAAAAAATAACTTATAAATAAAAGAAGCACAAATAATTAAATTATAAAGTATTTTTTATATCTGTCGTTGAACTGCCGACTTTGGGTTTACGACTACTAATGTTCAACTCTGTCACCTTGTAATTTTGAACCAATCCAGAAGACAAAGAAACTCCTGGATCAGTTCCCCCAGAGGTATGATTTGTTATGAGAACATGGAGGACTTTGTGACACGACAGATTTAACGAGCATCAGTCACCATTTACAACACGGGAAGTCTTCGGCCGGCGGGGGTCGAATCCGCGACCTCTTGGACATGGGCTCGAATTCCCTACCAACCTGGCTATTCCGGTCCAAATTATAAAGTACTGCAAATAGCTCTAGAAACATATCAATAACAATATTTGTCGTAAACATTAAGAGAAACGGATTTTTTTACTACTTTTCAAGAACGGCCTATTTAAGATTACTTTTTAGCTTAATTAATAACATAGATAAGGTGAGCTTCCTTAAACTTTAAAGATAAATTTGAATGCATTTATTATTAAACCAAATACTAATTACAATATTATTCACTCTGTATTACAACACATTTAGTTAAAAATACAAAACTGAAAATTAAATTTAACAGAAAAAAATGGCTTTTATACCATGCTCTAAGGTATCATGAAAGATTTTACCACATTTACGAAATTTTATAACATATCACAAATCCTTTTTTTATTGTTAATATTACCAATTTTACTAAAAATCCTTACCAAAGCGCTTCGATAAAAATTACCGAGCTTTTTGGTGTATTCATAGAACCAAAAACACGGTAAATTTTGACCATTATTTTTTTCTCAGTTTTTCGTAAACGCAACAGTAAATAAAAATTTAATCTAATAAAATGTTTGATATAAGTTTATGTTAAATTGCATGTTAATTATTACATAATAACATGTTAACAAGTAAATTATATAAACTGTGGACACATTTTCCTTCAAAGAGTTTAACCAATATTCCTCAGTTTACAATATATTTAAACTTAAATCTTTGATGTAGCAGATTTCACATGCGCAGTTTGTACGCTCCTTTCTTGTGAATCATTTGCTCTACTTTAACAATTACGAGAAGTTACCTTTTTTTTTCATATTATTTGAGCTTGAAATAAGTATTCTAACACAACAATTTTATCTGTGACAAATTGAGTAATTTTTTTCTTCAAATTTTTCTAAATTTTAGATTTATTTTTAATTTTTAAAACTTTGCTCAAAAAAACAAATTTTAATTTTTGCATTTTGATAAGATGGAATGAAAAATTTACTAAATGTGCTTGTATAAAAACTAAAGGTGATTTTAAGTTATTATTTTTACTTATGTATTAGCTTACATAATACTTATTGTATTATCTCGTTAACATTTGATAATTATATCTTATTATTTACTTTCATAAATATAAAAATTTTAAGTAAAATTTCCTCCTCCTATTATCCCTAAAATATCCTCGTCCTATATCCTCCTATTAAAGTAAGTTTGATAAAGTAAAAAAACTCTTAGGGTATAACTTATTTTTATCCAAAGTTTCATATGAAAAACTTACCTTCGAACTTACCTCAGTGTATCAGACTTCAATTATTTTGTTTACTAACTTTTTTTAGATGCTAAGAGAATTTATCAGAAAATGCTTTTTTTTTCTTAATAAATCCTTTTGAAAATGCAACTATGCAGCCCTATGCAACTTTATGTTATATTTAATACTATGCTCTAGGATTACTCCTTAATATACAGAAAAAAAAAAGAAAAAAAGAAAGAAAGAAAACAAAAAAAATAGAACACTTTTATAACTTTTTATCTTATGATCGAATTTTCATGTACTAAGAAGAAGATTGAAAATAGCTACTCCAAATGTGTTACTGGGAGGTTAACCGCAATCTGGAAAATATTTATCCGGAAAATACTTCACAGTCTTGTAATTTTGAACCCAATCCAGAAGACCAGGGAACTCTTGGAGAAATTTGCAGTCGTGGAGGGCTTTTTTGACAGAACTAACCCGCATTTGCTTTACATGGAGAGGAAAACCACGTAAACCTTCCAGCGTTAGACCAAAGACAAGGGGACTCTAACCCACGATCCATTTACCATTGAGGATATATTTTACGTCAGCTCGGTGGCCGATGCGAGCCGGGTGCGGAACTCGAATCGACCAGCCATTGCTGGAATCTGAGGGGGGGGGGGGGNGGGGGGGGGGGGGATTCACCTCGGTGGAAGGCGAATGCTCTATCCCCTGAGCCACCACGGCTCTTTCGTTTAATTATTCCTTTCATGTAGTTTAGGCACTGTAGCAGTCGAAAACATGGTCCCCTTTCAACATTAATTTCATTTTTTTTTTGTTATTTCACCATATTTCTGGAAATATTTAAGCAAATGAAGAGCGTTTTGCTCAGAATTGTTGAACTCGTTTATCCTAAGATACTTTCACGAAAAAAAATAAAAATTTGTTATTTAATTTAATAAGGATCAAAAGGTTTTACGAAGTAAGGTATACGAATTTTCACATCATTTTTTAGCAAGTAGCATTCAATGGTAAGATATAGCTTTGAAGAAAATTGGTCAAACAATACTTGAAAAAGGAAATTTCGAAAAAAGGGACTTCCTAAAAAATTTATAATTCGGTAAATGCTCTATCAATTTTGCTCAAATTTTGAATTTTATCATTTAAAATTCCACAATTTGAAAGGCAATTTGAGAAAAAAAATTTTTACTTATATTTGAATTTTACACCCTACATAGAAAAGCACAGAATTTACGACATACTTTAATGAAATGATTTATGACATAGTTTTTGGAAATTATGAAACCAAAATGGAGACCATTTTTACATCGAGTTTTGTTTTTTTTTTCCCGAAAATAATGCTTTCTTTCGTTAGTAAATAAGATAGTTTTGGTCATCGCATTTAGTTCAATTTATAAATGAAACATATTGCTGGAACTATTTAAAAGGTGAAGGCAAACGTACATTTTTCCTAAACAGAGCTAAATTCCGTTAAATTAATCACATGGAATATTAAAAAGAATATCATTTTGAAAAAAAGCTTTGATAACTACAATATATTTTTAGCCTTAGTCTATAATTATTTTACCCCGTCTCCCTCAACAAAACACAATCTGTTAACGATAATGGAGGCCTGTTTATACCGTCCAAGTTCTTAGACGAATATTGATTGAAATTGAGAGAATCATGCTTTGCTTGGATCGTGTAAGCGATCATCCAAGTTCGTGTTTCTTGGATGATAGTAGAGCATGTCCAAGTTTTTCCTCCCTTAACTAATCAGTTTCTTAAGTTTAATGACGTCAACAGGCAATCATCAGATTCTGTCATATTGTTGTCCGTTTTCATATATTTTAATCCAATTAAATTAATCTCTTAGGGTATATTTGTGTTATTTTATGATTCATGTAAGTATGATTTTATAATGTTGAATATGAACAATGCGCATCCGCAGGTTTTTCATCCGACCAATCAGTGACATTCAAGAGCTTGGATAGTGTCATCCAATTCAATTCTTGGAGAGAGAAATTGCTCCAAGTTCTCGGATTCAAGAACTTAGACCGTGCAAACAGGCCTAAAGGTCCACAAATTAGAGACAACTGACATTACGGAGTCTACCTTGCGTACCAGCCACCTTTATTTCTTGCGGCTCAAGCTATTGTCGGATATTATATATAAAAGGCTAAATCTATTTTTTAACAAAAAGGAAATTCTATTAAATGTGTCATTATCAATAGGAATAAAAATTCATTAAATAAAATATATAATCGAAGCAAAATATAGCGTTTCAATTTGAAACTACTGCATGAAAAAAAAATTTAGATTTCATGGTAAGTAGAATATTTGTGTACAATGGCCATTACTATTAAAAACTAGCTTTGAGCCGTGGTGGTTCACAGGATAGAGCGCCAGCCCTCCAATGAGGTGAACCGGGTTCGAATCCCAGCGATGACTGGTCGATTCGAATTCCTTACCCAGCTTGCAGTGCTGACGTAAAATATCCTCAGTGGTAGACGGATTAGGGGTCAGAGTCTCCTTGCCGTCAGGCTAACCGTGGTAGGTTATCGGTGGTTTACCACTCCGTGTATATATGTATTATATTTAACGCAAAGGCGGTTTAATTTC